TCATCATCATCGTTTTCGCATCCATACACAATCGTGGTCGATCAGTGTTACTCGTTGCTTGGCGTTCTGTATGTGTGTTTTGCGTTGTGCTAGTTCTAGTTTTAAGTGTTAACAAAAATGTAATTCGAACCCAAAATCAAAAGTAAGCGTCTTCAGCTTCATCGAGTAATTGCCATGTTAAAGTTCAAATCTGAGTGGTAACAAAACCATCAGCTACACGTGTGAACATCACAAAAAAACGATATTAATATCGCACAAGAAACAAAAGTATTTTCCGATGAGAATATGGCATCCAGAAAACTTGCTCATATTCTTCATTCTTCATTCGAAAATTCATCATTCGACATCTTTAACGGAAATTGGGATATTCCTAGCAAGCCCGTTGATATCCTATTAACTGCGGCATGTAAACCGAGGACCTGGATACAGGGAATATGCTATCACGAAAAGGAATGTTCACGATCCATTTTTGTCTTAAATTATTACGTTTATCATACAGCTTAATTTGTATCCTGTGCTTAAACTACAAAAGTGTAAGTTTTAATCAAGTTTTATCTACGGATGTAATAAATAATAAATATATTGCTTGATTAAGGTATCACGTAACTGCACGATTTGTGACGTCAGACGTTCCTCGCCAACTCTCTTCTTACCTTACACACGCCCTGCACACAAACTGATGACCCGTCCTTTTTGCACACGGTTCCATTAGTGATAGGATCCTTAAACGTCGTATAGAACCCTTGACCTCGCGCATGGCATGTCAATTCGCACCTTCCGTCAACTGCAAAGTGCAAAGGTCGCATTATTAATACAAAGAAATTGACCAATATCTTTGTTGTGACAGTTCATGAAACCCTACCTTTTCTATGTATTACTCAGAAATATTTGACTGAATGTAAGGAAAATGTCAATTTTCGTCTGACTCATCGACAACTGTTAACAATCTTGTTTTGCGTTGCAGTCGCACATTATCGGACCTTTCCGGCACAATCGGGAAAGCATTCGATTGTGCCGGGAACCCCCGAGAACATATATCTGTACGGTGAACGTTGTGAAGAGGTTCAAAGGGGTCATTTCATTATTTATTTTTTTATATTTTTATCGCCATTCTGTCACAATTTAGAAGAAGGTTCCTTTATTGATATTGTATTAAGTGACAAACAGACGAGGCCATAACAATGTGGGCAAATACTGCATATGGTAGAATTGATTTTGTAAAGGCTTTTGGCGGTGTTGCGGATTTACCAACTCTCTTAATCAGTTAATGCTATATACTACCTCAAAATGCATACAACTGTGGTTTTGTGAATGTATCTACTAACAGATGTAACTAATTCGTTCGTTCTTGTGTGTCTTTTTTTTATTAGACATCAGAACATTATTACAATCCGAATTTCAAGTTCATAATTTTTGACATTTTTCTTCGTGCGGAGCGCTTTTGGAATGGAGGTAGAAAGCCGACAGTTAGAGGTTTTCATTCCGTTTCTTAATGTGTGGTTTTCCAAATGGGGAAAAGACAGAAAATGTATGTTTTTATTAGGCTGGAGGGATGATTAGGATCCTGAAGCCTAGGGATTTCCTCCGAATCATCCTGAATTGATACAATCTTTGAAATTCTTACAAACATGTAACTACACCTAATTTGATGCATGTGTACAATGAGTATGAATAGACAGACGTCTCACTTTAATCATCATTTAGTAGGAAAGCCAATATGTATAACTTAGCCAAACGCAATTTAAATGAGGGGAGGTAACTCACAGATCATGTAAGGCGCCCATCTGTAACGTCCGTGACCAATGTCCTCCCCGTCGTGGGTGGAGCAGAGCTGTTCCCTCAAAGTAGTCTGACCTGCTTGACACGCCTTCAATGTCAAACAAATGTGAAATAATGCAAGATCCTATGTGATTCATCACAAAGACTAAAAAATGTAGGGGGAAACCACTGAAGCGAAATGAGCAAGAACAAAAACGAGTCTATTCATCGAATATTATGGCTACAATTGCGCTTATCACGATGATGTCGCAAAATTGAAGAAATTTTATGATGTGGTTTATTTTCAACTGTCTTGGTCAAACGTTCGTGAAATGTTTTAACTCGCGAGCGACGCTTCTCTCCCGAAACAAGATTTAACGGAACTGCAGCATTGTAGACTCTACAGTTAAATGACATTTTGAAACTATTAATTAAGTGTATGTATCGAAGTAAACTTTATGCCATACCTGAGTATTACAAACTTTAAACTGCAAACGGCTTCCATGGCAACTATAAATAAAAACAAGAGAAAAAATCAACAACAAAAGTCTATTCTATCCATCTATCCAATCACACTCTCCAAGAATTTTTGAAACATTTTTAATCTAAACTTCCTCTTTTATAGTTTAAGTCGATAAATATTAACGAATATAATCAGTACCTGTAACGACACAATATGAAAAACTACCAAGAGCACGTGTAGCATTCCTTTCGCACAGGCCAGAAGGAATTTAACACAAATAGAATAATGATAGCTAGCTCTGTTTCGCATCAGGTCTTGCTAAGCATCTACCGTGTTAAAAAAAATCATTTTTTTAAACCCTAGCATAGATGTTTCCGGTAATGGTTACATTGATAGAAAATAAGCCACCATACTTAGATACGTTGTACAAACTAACTTTGTCGATCACTTACGCGTGATTTTCACGGATACACGCCCGATCTCTGGTCATGGACCCAGTTCCACACTGGGCGTTACATCTGGTCCACTCACCCCAGGGGCCCCAACCGTGGTTATGTTCAAGGTAGTCCTGGAAAAACGACAGAAAATGTAGCAGTTATTTCCCTTAGTCCAGTTATTAACAGTCGGGTTACAGTTATATAGAAGGTAAATGTTACAGTTATAGACGGGTTACAGTTATATACGGGTTATAGTTATAGACGGGGTACAGTTATATACGGGTTAC